TATACAAATGTGTATCCAAGTTCGCTCTTCGACAGAATCTCTTCTGGCATTTTTCGCAAACATAAGGCTTTTCCTTACTATGAACAGGCGAATGGGGTTTTATGTTGGTATCTTTAGCGAAACTCTGTGCACAAACTTCAGGAACATAAGGCTTTTCCTTACTATGATCAAATAAATGTGCTTTTAAGAAGCAATATTTAGCGAATGTATGCTTGCAAACTTCACAAACGTAAGGCCTTGTTTCATCGGTATGAATATGCAAATGAACTTGTAAATCGTATTCAGTCGAAAAATCCTTCAGACAAAACTCGCAAATATAAGGTCTTTCATTTTTAAGTTTGCATATAAGGTTTACTAACCATTCCTCAGAGTCCATACTTTCATGCAAATGTCAAAACCGCGTAAGTTAAGAACACAACCTCACTCCACGAAGAATAATAACGGAGTGCCGGTTTCTCATTTGACAGCTTACTTCACTTCGCGTCACCTCAGTCTCGCTTCGCTTCTTCGTTCGGTGATTTGTTGGTTCATCTCCCCTACCAATGTCATCTCGCGACAGCAGCACTCCACAACCGCCACAGGTAGCCCCCCACCACCACCACCAGCGATAGTGAATTTTTTAGCTATACTTGGAGGTGAAACGCGTTGTCTGCTGCTGGAATGTTTTGTAGTTTCTTACCTACTAGAACTTGCTCTCTGCTTTTTCTGTTCCGAATCTGGAACTTCCTCTAGTTGAAGGGACACTTTTCCCTTCAGGTTTACTTCTACTAAACTGTCCTCCAATTCTTTGGAGATGTAGGCAGGCTTCAGCTTATCGATGCTCTCTGAAACCTCTTTTCCATGCCTCAATATCCGGAAAACTTTCTCGGTACGGTCGACAACTTTATAGGGACCTTCGTATGGAGGTTGCAGACCTTTTTTGAGGGAGTCTGTTCGCAAAAAGACATGGCTGCATGTGGCCAAATCCTTACTCACGAAGATTGTATGTTGACCATGATGTCGGGGGTGAGAGACGCTGCATTGAGTCCCTGAGTCTCCCCACAAAAGTAACAGGATCTGCACTTGGTTTTGATGGGCAAAGAAATTCACCTGGAAGCCTGATAGGAGCTCCATAAATCATTTCCGCAGTTGTAGATCCTATTTCCAAATGGCACGAAATCCCATTAGTATAGTGGGCAATACTGTGGTCCACTGAGCGTTTCCTCGTGCCTTTATAGCCCTTTCAACTGCCGATGAAATCTCTCTGCTTGGCCGTTTGCTGCTTGATGATATGGCGTTGTGTGTCGCCTCTCTGTGTCTAATAACTTCGATAGAGCATAAAATAGAGATGCCTCAAACTGCGTTCCATGGCCTGTAGTTAATCTGAGGGGAGGACCGAATCTGGAGATCCAACCAGTGTAGAAAGCCTTGGCCACGGCCTCTGCTGAAATCTCTACCATTGGAAAGGCCTCCGGCCACTTGGAAAACCGGTCCACACAGGTAAGACAGTAACGAAAACCCTCTGATGGATGCTATGGGTCACTGGAGTGGAGAAATCATTTATATCGGAGGAAATATATAAAAAATATTTTTTTTATAAGCAAATAAAAAAATCGCGAGCTCAGGTGATCACAGCACAGGGAGCGAAATGTCAAAATATAGGAATTGTAGAATTGAATAATCGAATTAGAGAGTTTGAAAAACCTTGGTTGTTTCATGTGTTGACAGATTTGGAATACCCATGTATTCTTGGGGTTGATTTCATAAGTGGATCAAAGATTGTTTTAGACTTTGATCGAAAATCGTTAAAGATTCCCGATTCGCAAATAGAGAAGGTGGTTAAAACAATTGAGGAAGAAAATGTAGAAATAGATCTGTCTAAGACAAAGTTGGAGGATAAGCAAAAACAAGAATTACAAAATTTGTTTAGTAGTTTTAAGGGATTGTTCTCAGACAAACCAGGTCTTACTCATGTTTTATACCATGAAATTGATACAGGAGATAGTCCACCGGTTGTTTCCAAGCCGTACAGGTATGATCGGCAAAAACAAGCGATACTCGAATTCCACTTTGACAAAATGTTACGAGAAGGAACCATAGTTCCAATTCAATCCCCGTACGCGTCACCTGTTGTGTTATGTAAGAAAAATAATGCGTTACCACCGCATATATTATTGTTGGAGCATCAAGCGAGAATGTTAGCAGATTCAACACCTAAAGAAAAATTAAGAATTTTTTTAAAAAACTTTGATACGTATATTAATGTTGAATAAAACTATAAATGAAGTTGTAACTATTTTATAATATAGTACATTTTTATTACATACTAATAAAAATAGACCAATTTTTATTAGTATATAAAAAATATATATTTTTTCTTTACATGCATATTTTGTTTGACTTTTATGACAAAGAGAGGGTACCCTACAGCTTAACAAGTTGATGTAATAGACAAAAACTGCAGTTATTTTTAGGTAAAATATTAGTCTACAAGTCACAGATCTAAGGATGTGAAACTGCTGTTCCCCAGTGTTATGCATCCATAATACTAGACATTTTAAATAATTTTCAAAGGATAAAATGAAATGGTATAGAACAATATATATGCATTATTCAAATAACCATTAAAAAGACATACAATTTATAACATGTAAAATAAGCTAATTTTCTAAATTTTTCAATCAAATTGATTACTAGCAATATCAACAATAAAAAATAAACAGCAAAAGTATTATTAATATACAACTTGTACACACAAATAATTTAGATTAATATACAGAGTATAAACTGGAAGTTAATACTTAATTTTGGACATTTTTTGCCCCATTATACAAAAATTTGACCTAATATATTCATCCTACAAATTAAAAAAATTTTGAATATCAATTTGCAGAAAAACATACCATAATATCATTAAAACTACTTATAGAAAATTTTACAGTTTTGTTTTTCACTTTCAAAGTTAATTATTTGTATAGCTTGCTATATGTAGCCTTTCTAAATGTTTGTTATATGAAGCTCGTCAGAATATAATTGTTTCTCGCAAAATGAACAAATCATTTACATATATGTTAACCTTTTAGATACTGATGATAGAAATTTCAGTATATTTTAACTATACATTAAATCCTCCCTCTTCAGAAATCAGGCTTATAAGTTATTCAATACAGTAATTATCTGTAACCTTGCTAAAAAAAATTGCTGATTGTTGTATCCAGGTATAATTTAAAACAAACATGAACGTGGAATTGATAAGTACCCAAATAATAACTTAGCCTATTTAAAAAAATAATACCTGAATACATGTAATATATAATTTCTTATACAAATAAAGCTAAAAGCCTTAAATCTACTACATCCCTTCAGAAGTTAACATTGTTACAGAACATGACATTTCTTTTTGTCAAGAGAATATGACATTGAACTAATTTTAGTTCATTTTGAAATTTGAGATTAAGCATTACTTTTAAAGGATATTCACATTTTGTATATCTCACATTTTAATAAAATATTCTTAAAAAAATGAATTAATCTGTAACACTGATTTTAAGTTTAATTCTTTTCCATGATGTCGTCTTTCCTGAAGGGAAGGAAAGTTACCAGAGCCTGAGACAGTTTGCACTTCTTGACATACTGCCGTGAACACCGTATAGGTGACAGTACGATTTTTAGCTCAGTTCCATCCCAATTTAGAGGGAAAACACCCTGAGGGGGGGGGGGGGGGGCGGGGCCGCCCCCCCCCGCCCCCCCCCCCCCCCCCCGCGGGGGGGGGGGGGCTCAGGGCCTTCCCACCTCTCTGACCCTTCCACCAACCTCATGAGAGGACTTGTGACTCGATAGCTATTTAGAGTACCTCCATGCTGCAAAGGCACTATACCTCTGGGATTCGAACCCAGGCCCTACAGCACAGCAGTCTGCTTTGCTAACCACTATATCAGATGGACGACTTCTTTTTCATGATACATCATGTGAATAATACATGTTGTATCTGGAAAAATTTATAATAAAAGCTTACTCACCCTTCCTTCCCCCTTTGTCAACTTTTTCTTTTTTTTAATGCATATAACATATGTCTTATTAAGTATAATTTTTTTAAATTGAAAAACATTACTTGATTCGACTTATGTTAGACTTAACTATCCATACATTGAGTTGAAATAAATCCAAGCCTTAAGATTAATTTATATTTTATTCATTTTCCCAACCAAACTTCCAAAAGTTAATTTAGAAAAGATACATTGGTTCATTAAGAAGCCATTTCACAAAAAAAACCTTACTAAGACAATGAAACAGAATTTCAAAGGTAAAAATTAAATTTTTCAACTGACCAAAAAATTAACACAAAACATGTATTAGAGAATAAAAAGTTTTATTGAACAATAAAGCTAAGTAAAAGTTAACTTTAAAGGTTTGAGCCACATAATAATTAAATATACAAGACAAGACAAGAAAAAATAAAATAACAAGAGGGCATCATGATAACATTTTAATAGCTAACAATTCTACTTTTACTATACAAATCTAATGAAACATAACACTATTACAATAGATATTTTTCTTTGAAGACAGTAATACATATCCATATATTACACACAACATATTTGCCAAAAATAATTAATCACAATATCCAAAATTTACATATTCAATAATTTTGTTTCAATTTCCATATAGAATGTTATTACAAGCAATTTAAGCAAGGAAAAAATGATGTAATACAAAAGAGCTTCTTTTTCAGCTCATGTTTAATAATACAGCAGTTATTTACGTTTCTTTAACTCTTCAAATCGTTTGGCTAAGTCATCAAAATCGACATCATCCCCACTATTTGGTTCACCTAAATCAGGTAAAACAGTATTTGGAACTGATGGCAATTCTGGGAGTGAATCAATAGGAAATTTTGTTCTTGGTGCAGGAGTAGGCAAAACCGGTGCAGCATTCGGAACAACATTTGGCAGAGGTGGGGGATTATCACCAAAGACACTTTCATAGGAAGGAGCAGGAGCATCTATATTAAAGCCAATGTTTTGAGGATTAGAAACAGAAGTGGGATAAGGCCCGCTTGGACCAACACTTGGGACAGGAGGCACTTCAGAACCTTTAGCACAAACCTAATATAAAATATAAAAAACAATAAGAATTAATAAAAATACCACTATTTATAATTTCATACCTCTAGTCATAAAAACATGAATCTTTCCTTTTTCTTGTTTTAACATATATCTACTACTGAAATGTCAATACAAAATTCATTTAAATAAATTGTTTAACACTGTATTGATTTCTCATATATTGCCAGAAAAGAAAATTAAATTAATGAAGAAAAAAATATAAATTATTAAGTACAACATTCTACTAAAAATGTGATTAGAAAGTATATGAAAATCAGCGAAAAAACTTATTTTTCCAACTTTTGCTCCTCCAAATTAGAAATTTAGTAATCCAAACTATGGTGCTAATATGCATTAGTTAAAAGGTAGAAATTTTTTCAATATAAATTGCAATTTCTGAAAAAAGCAAATTCCAAAACAAAAGAAACATTTATGAAAAATCTACTTATCATATAACTTTGCACACACATTAACTTTATATAAATAAATAATTTAATTCAACATTTTGTCCAAAAAGTTAAAAAAAATAAATTTAGGGGTTGAAATACATACGACTTTTTATTACTTTGAAACTTTCCCTATGTTACACGATATGAACTTAACGGTTAGATATTTAAAAAAATCTCAATAAAATAATATGATAAATAACACAGAAAAAACTTTTATGGCTATAAGACATTTTTTAAAAATCTTCCTTATAAAAGATATAGACATTTTTAAGAGTCTGGAGATAAGGAAAATGTTGCACAAAGTGATTCCTTTAAAGAAGAATTTTGGAAGGGCTTAATATTTTATAAACTAATCACTGATATTAAAATACCCCATCTTCTAATATAAATAAAACTTTTAGTCAAATTGTATAAAGGATATAATTATTTGCATACATTTTATTTATCAAATAGAGACAAACCTTTTTAAATACATGTTTTGCATCTTCAAAACACTGTCATTAAATAATTAAAACTTCTTAATGTTATGACCAGCAATCTGAATGAAAATAAAAACTAAGCATATAATAATATCACATTTTTCTGTAAACATACATTTTTAAGTACAGAAAATCCAATTTCCTCTCACCTAACAGTATAATTTTATCACTGCATGAGTTGGAATATAAAAATATGATATAAAATTATTTTTCAAAAGAATAATTAATAATGTCAAAGATTTAAATCTTTAAAAAACATGATAGCTCTTACATTTGGTACTGGATAATTAAATGGCTTTGGTAAATCAGGCTGAGGATATTGTACACCTGGATACATAGATTTATCTTGAGGAGGTCCGGTGACAAAACCTGGTTCTGGAGGTTTAGAATCATCAAGATTAATAAGAGGTTCATTTATAATTACTTCACGAGCTTCCTCTTCTTCAGCAAGGACTTCATTATCAGGTTCATAAGGCACATTGTGACTTTTAGCAATTTCTGCAATAGAGATTATGAGTAATTAAAAATGTAAAATAAAACTTAATGTGAGAAAAAAAAATCATACATAAAACTTTTTTTACCAATGAGATATTTTTCAACAAGGATTTTAGGTGGAGCTTGGACACTGAGTTTATGGACAAGTTTTTCATTCACAGAGTTTAAGCTATTTTCTCTTGCAGCCAAAGCATAAGGCTTTCCATATTTTACAGCAAGCTGGTCAGCAATAATTTTCAGTTCCGCTACATCTGTTTGCAAACGAGGTGCAGCCCAGATCAAACTGGAAACAGCTTCTGACAACCCTTCATCCAACGTTCTGGTGGGGGAAAAGTAAATGTTAATAATGAAATATTAAAAAATACTCAGTAAAATTAAACAAAATAAATGAATAAATAAATAATAATCATGATTATTCAAACAATAAAACAAAACAGTTAACAGCAATTGATTAAAAAAGAAACCTTGATCTGGGTTGTAGTCAGAAAGGATATAATCTACATGATTTTCATCAAACAAAAACCTGTTTTATTTAATTTGTATGTAATTTTTGTTCAAAAGGAAGAGAATAAACTAAATATTCTTAATGAAATGTTTATTAATGGCTTAGTGTTAAAAAAAAAAAAAAAAAAAGAGAAATTTCTTCTGTTTCATTTAAATTGCAGTTGTCAGAAAAAAGAATCTGCTAGATGTCCTTTTTTTCTTCATTCAAAATTTGACTTCAACTTATGTGATACTCTATTAACCATCAATAGCTCTATTTTTTTTTTTTTTTTTTGCCAGTACCAAACTTATAGGGTTTCACGAGAAATGAGCTAATGAATATGAATCTGAAGAAAGTGTGCAAAACAGAAAAAAATTAACACTGAATTTTCTTGGATACATTTTGCCATTGAAAGAACATGAACTGATTGTAGAGTAAGATCCGAATGAAATAATGTAAAAACTAGAATATGATATTTTGTGTTATCCCAAGATGCAAGGGGGAAAAAAAGGGAAAACAAGGATGCAACAAAACTTTTGGCTGATTTTCTAGTTTAAACATGTTTTCCTTTTGTAAAGAATAAGCAATAAAAGTTCATATTTCTGTTATTTTTCATTAATTTTTAGTAAATGTACAAATTGTTTCGATTTAACTAACAGTTCCAAGTGAAGTATTCCTGTACTTTTACTTTAGATAAGCAATGAAATATTGAACTACATCTATTCATTAAAGAGAAACAATAGAATACAAGGATTTAGGTTTGATGATCTTATTAATCACTACAAAATTTATGTAAAACGCAGGCAAATAAAACCCAAAAAATACATTTTACATCATCTTACATAAATTAACAATAACTTTAGATTTTGTGAAATTTCAAAACATTATAGTAAAACGAAACTCATAACTTACTTCATCTGTTGAACAAGTCCAAATCGAGCCAACAAGAGATCACAATACATTTCTACAAGTTCCATAGCTTCGATTAGGTAGTCTTCACGTATTATATGTTCTACACGAATTTTTGATCTCTCTAATTTGCCATTAGCAAGATAATCGGCTATTTCACGCCTCGATTTTTGGGCTAATTCTGTTTTTTTCTTTTCCAGCAGTTTTAGTCTATTGATAGATAGTCTCAAGTTTGTTTTTAGTTTCGAATAATTACAACCAGTGGACATCATTTTTAAAACGAAAAATTCAAACACACTGATCACATTAATTTACCTGACTGCGATTTGTACCATAACAAGAACTATTGCGAAATTCAGTTGTAATTCTGATTCATATATATGGAGATGAGATGTTTTATACAGCCCATAGGGACAGGAAGAATCCTAATGTTAAAAATAACCTAAATCACCAGGAGGCGCTGACATCGTGAGGGAAAGGGAAAATTTCCCTCATTACCAAAAGGGAAAAATTTTGAAAATTGTTTTCCAGTTTAGCATAGCACGTGTGTCCGTCTTGGATAATTTTTTGCAAAACAAATTTCCTGTTTATTTGGCTGTAATTTTTTCATTAATTAACGATTATTAAAGAACATCAACATTGTTTTAAAAACTAATTTCATATTGCTTTTTACAAAATATTAATGAATAATTTAAATAAAAAATCCCCGCGTATTTTCTTAGGGCTTATGGATGAATTCAGATTGATTTATTTTCTTCTGCAAAAATCGAAGGCAATTTAATATGTATTTCTACAGGAACTAATTGAATTTAGTGTCAAACTTGTAGCAATCTACTATCAAGGAGATACAATCCATAGTAAAAATAATTTTGTATTTCAAGTCAGTAGTGTGTCCGTTTTTTATTTGAAAACAAAATTTTCTTTGGTTAGCGGTAAGTAAATTGTTTTTCATTAGTTAACGATTATTATTTTACATCAACATTGTTTAAAAAATTAATTCCGTATTGCTTTTTGCAG